TTAAATTCTTGGTCAGAATCACACGTGGCACCCTTGCCACAGCTGGACCTCCAACTAACAATTCTCTCGAAATGCTATACGTCCTCTGGTTCAGTAAGCACTTGACCTTGCCTCAAACAAGAAGGATCCGGATAGCATTTTTCTTGATACTTGGGACAAGGTAGCGAGCAGGTTGAGCAAGGGGAAAAGAAGAAGCCCGGAATCTGTAAATGGTCTTTCGAGGTGCTGTTTTTTCCCCTGGTTCGCATTCTGCCAAAAATCCAGATTCACCAGACACGCTCGCAGGCCCAGCCAACCAGCGCATCAACGCCCCCAACTACGTAGGTAGTTACTACTTCCCATATCCATTTCCCAGCGCAGTCCCATCGCTAAAACACGTCCCCAGCCTAAGACAATCACCCAGCCAAAACTGTTTGCACCACGCGTCCCCTGCGCAGGCAACACGGCAAGGCACCACCTCCACGACGGAACAAGGCAATGCTCAAAAGCGCGGGCGTGGATGAGCAAGGCCGCTCCACAAATTGACATGAGCCAAGATGACCGCCGATGCCAAGCTTTTGCTCCCCGCCCGCCTCACACAAAATTGATGCCAACGTTCACAAAAGCGTCACAGGCTCAGCCTCGATGGAATGAAAAAAAAATATAGATAGTCAGTCCCATAACTACTATACACAGAAACCCCCTAGCCAAGGAGAAAAATGAGCCCCGTCAAGCCAGACCAAAGCGCAATCTGCAGTTACGTCGTCCCCGCCTAGCAAAGTGTGCTGTTTACCTAGTTCCTGTGAAACCGCTTTCCGTCAAGCTTAAAAAACGATCCCTTGCTTCATATATATGTATATGTATATATGTATAGTACTGTAATGACTGTAATGACTGTAATTAATCTTCATTTCATCGTATTTGGTTTGCCTTGATGCTTGGATTTTTGAACTTTGTCCCTGGGGGATGAGCCTCCTCGGGGAATTTGCAAAAGGGGTGTATGCAGACGTTGTCGCGGATGCTGGGGCACTATTGAGGAAGAATTGCTGTTAGCAACATGCTAGGTACATGCACGCGGGGCATAGACTAATAGACCAGAGTAAAGGCCAAAAAAAAGAGAGAAAAAAAAAAAAGAAAACGTACGTGATGGCCGTAGATGCACTCGTCAGACTCGCAGTCTTGCCCATTTGTACACGGGTTCTGACGAGCCAACACGGCAATGGCGTTAATCTCCTCGCTGCTGGGCTTGTAGTCGTGGACAAAGAAGCACGAGTCACCCTTGGTGCAGGGCCCTCGCAAAAAGTGGTTGTTGCACAGCTTATCCGACTCCTTGCGCTTCTTGATGCTCTCCATGGCCGAGACGCTGACGGTGATGGGCTCGTCCAGCCCGCGGTGGCCGGGATCCCAGTCGGGCTGCTGGGGGGGAATCTGCTGATACTGCGCCTTGGGGGCTCGACTGGCGGCGGGCTTGGGGGCGATGGGGAGCGAAATCTGGGGAGGGGGGCTGCTGTTGCTGCTCGCGGCGTTGGCGTATGATAATGATGAGCGGCCTGGCGTGCTGGCTGATCCGATACTAGTGGCAGGGCTGGCAGTCCTAGGTCCGGCTACCCAGCTGCCAAGCTGCCAGGCTGACGTACTTCTATCGGGACATTTGTCACTACGGAAAAGGTCCCTTCCCAGATCCATGCTGGGGATGCTGGTGGCGACGAGCTCGGGGACGGTGGGGACGCCTTCGATGATGGTCATGCGATGGCGGGAAAAGTCGTTTTGGGCAATCTTGTCGAGCAAGGGGGCGTATGAGGGATCGTGGGAGACGCCCAGGAGAATATGTCTGCAGTTGTAGTTTTCAAGGTGAAACTGTATATTATCTGCGAGTCGGGTCAGCAACTGGTTTGGGACTTTGTCCTTGTTCTGGGAAAAGCGCAGCATTTACTCTTGATTTTGGACGAGACACAGTCCTTGTCGTGTCCAGCATCGATAAAGTCGAATGTTGCCTCGCCTTGGGTGAAGCCTGAAGCAAAATCCTTCAGGTCGGACAGGTCGCGGCCCAAGGACTTGGCCAGGCCGCCAAAGTTGGCCACCACTTTTGTAATAATCTCGACGTCAGCATGCTCGCCGCACTGAGCAGTAATGGCGTCTCGAAGCTCGCGAGCAGCCTTCCTGCCGCCTTCGACGCCTTGCTTGATCCATTGGTCGCGGAACTGTGTCTGCGTTTAGCGCTTGGGGTTTCTTCACGCGCGTGTCGTGCTCAGTTGTACATACCAGCAGGCCGTCGCCGTCAATCATGACAAGAATGTACGCATTGTGGTTCTGTTCAAAATTTTAGTCTCAGCGCAAAGCGTCGCCAACGAGAGCATCGCCATACCCTGATTTGTTCGATTTCCTTGGTTACCCAATCGGTTCTCGCCTCGCTATTCTTCAGCTGGGTCTGCAAATCTCTCTTGTCGCGTTTGCACTCTTTAAGCTCGTCGACGAGTTGCTGGTTCTGGAATCGCAGGGCGGTTTCGAGCTTGTCGCAGTACACGAGGATATCCTGCCACGGGGCGTTAGCATGCGAAATCTCAGTCAAGTGCCTCGCAGGATGCCATGCCACCAACCCGAATCAATAGATCTGACGAGTCCCTTTGCTGCTGTATGCCCTGAAAGCGCTGGAAAAAATCCACAAGATTCGATCCTGCCGACATCTTGTCTGAAGAGTCGTAATAAGGCGTGTGGTGGTTTCTGTCCTGAGACTTTAGGGCAGACATTTGGTCGAGATGAAATTTTTTGGGCACGCGCGAGGGGAAGAGGAGGTGACGATGAGATGAATAAAGAGTATTAATAGTTCGGCAAAAGCGTGCTCTCTATTACAATACGGAGTACGGAGTACACAGATTATAATTTTAATGTGCACATGTGCCCGTTCACACCCTGGTCAGCTCCAAGACTCAGTCCGGGGTCGACGAGATGGGGGGAAACAGAAGGCTCAACAGGGCCGGCTGCTGTGCGACAGGAAGAGGGCAAAAAATAAAATAAAAGAAAAAGCTTCAATACGACGCCACCCAACGACCACGGTTGGGTTCAAAGCAGGCTGGGGTAACAGAGACACCTGGGGGGTTTGATGAAGAAGGGGAGGGCGCAGTCGAGGAGGGTATAATATATTTGTGTTCCGATTCTGAAAGCCTGGCGAAATCGCAGTCCAGGCGTGTAGAAATACGCAAGCAGAGAGAAGAAGCCTTTTCAAAAGAGTCAAAGCAAGCGAGATCAAGACGAGTGGTTTTGTTTTATTTTTGGAATGTCGACCTGTAATTTTTCCCCCCTTCAACGATTTTAGGCAAGAAGAGGAAAAAAAAAACAGACTAAAAATTGATAGGCGACTGATAAGAGAGGCCGGCGGCATCAATGTTTCCACCCCTGCATTTCTGGACTTATTCCTGGGGGCCAGCGGCTGCGTGCATTGGCTTGTGTCGGCTGGAGGGGTGGCCCAGGGTTGCATGGCCTCACCGGGAGGCAATCAATCAAGATGCGGGATGCGGGCGGCACAGTGGGGCCCAATCTGCTGCCCCGTCCTCGTGTAGTACCTGAAGTGATCCGGCTACGTCCATCGTCGGCCACCCAAGCCATCAAATATTAGGTCTGGTCAATGAATATCATCTTCTTGCAGCGTCACGTCGATGCTGCGCCTCGCTTCCCATCGCCTTCGTTCTGCCACGCAAAGGCACAATGCAACTCGCTACGCACTCGCTCACTACAATGAAACACCATAAAGCGACTCTCAGCCCAAACCAAACCCTAACCACGCAGCACGGCGCCTTGCCGACCGACCGCCTTTCAAGCTCCTCCAATCAAAGGCCTGTGCCTCCCCCTTTTTCCTAAACGTCACATCTGCTGCGACTCCCAATGTTTGTCTTGTCGCCCGCCCGGCCTCTACGCGCCTGCAAGCCGCCCGCCTTGCAACCAGGACAGTATCGAGTTCCATCACGAATACGGACTACATAGAGCACAAAGCATCTTTCGTACAACCACCACCCGCGAGCCAACCGCCCGGCTTGCATGCCTCTTTTACCAAACGAGCCTGACGTTTGTCACCACCCCTGCTTTCACACGTCGCTGCCTTCCGTGCAACTCTGGTGTTTCGATCGGGGGGCAACCGGCTGGTCTTTCTCATTGTGCCCTGCTTGACGTTTATGCGTCATTGTTCCCTGACCGCTTCATGGGGGACCCCAGTCGTTGACGTGCAGAACTTGATTCGCGACATGGGCGATGCGTTTTGTTACATGCTTTTTTATATGTATTCGTTGTCTGCAGCTGACTGCATGGGGCTTTGCGCCCTTTCGGAGCCGTTGTTGTTCTTACTTTGGGTTTTGTGGTGGGCTGGATTTATTGTGTCTGGGAGGCGCCCGGCAGCACACAAAGGTTATGCATGTCCAGGTGACGCTCTTGCAAGCGCCCGTCGCACTTTGCACGCCGTCAAAGTACATCAAGCGTCATTGACCAATTCATGAGCCCGTGAACACGGGGCTTATAATGAAGAACACCGCCGAGAAATACTCGCAGAAGCTTATCGCATCGCTCTCCGGTCGGGATACAAGGCCTTGGAGTTGCATGCAGCATAGCCCCCGATGGCTTAGGAGGTGTATAAACATCGCCACGGCTCTTGGGAAACATTTCCATTTGCATAGGAAAGGAAAAAGTCAAGGTAAGCGCCTATATTGGAAGTCAGATCCTTGCCATCTTGCCGTGCGTTTCATCTTTACCTCCGCAAACGCCAGGGTTGGTTGCCGGCAGCCACCTGGGTAATATCTTGATGCATACCCGAGTACGTCGAGATCGCCGTCCTATCAAATTGCGTCCGAGCCTTATACCCAGGACGGCACTTCCCCCAGAGAATAATGAGAGACGTTATTTCCCAATCATGATCAAGGTAGGAGAAATATGCAATCCTCGCCAGCAATGTCCAAAACCGCAGAAAGCCGCGCGATGTGGCCCTTGTAACCGCGGCCGCAGTTTTCAACTGCCGCTCCTCCGCTCTATGCATGCCATCATCTGGGCTGAAACCTGTTCAACACCTGCCAAAGCGTACCCTCGGCAATGTCCCCTCCAAACTGCCACTCCGACGCCCCCCCTTCGCTGGGAGCCATCTCCGCAGCCGCCATCATACCGCCACCATCCTGCACCGCGGTAAGGTCATTGTATATCAAGTCTGAAATAGCAAACGTCGGCATGATATTCGACAGACCATCTGGCGCAAAGGCCCATTCGCTGGGTGACAGCCACGTCTCGCCCAGTGTGTCTTGCCTGGCGTTTCCCACATCTTCACCCTCAACTGCACTCTTCGCCATGCTTGCGCCTGGGAGTGAACTAGCTGGCCAGACAGGTGCTGGGTTTGCATTTGCATCCAGTCTCGCGGACCCGCTGGCAGGCGTATTGTCCGAAGGTCCCCTCGTGGAGGCTGGCGTGATGGAACTTTTGGAAGGCGAGGCAGAATGAGCAAGCGCCTTTGTAAATTTGCCCAAAATGGCACGGAGAACACCCTGTGCGGCCTTGGCGAGTGGATTGCGATGCTGCATTGTCGCAAAACGCTCTATGGCCCAGTGGATATGTTGAACGGATAGGTGCCGGTGTTCTGGGTGTTCGTGTGGAAAGAGGATGTATACAGAGGCAACGAGGACGATGGCGTCGAATGTTCCAAAGAAGAGCATAAAACTAGGGCTCGTTAGCATTTCGCGGCTTCTTTTTCACTCGCCCACGTTCGCGTGGGAAACTCCTCACCGACAGAACTCACTTTCTCCAGGATGTAGAAGGTAGGCCCTCAAACATTGATCTCTGCATCTCCAGCATGGCCAAACCAGCTGTCAATGCCTCCAACCTACTCTCCTTCCTATGGAACAGGTATGGTCGATGCAAGGCCATGAGAGTGAAGTTGTGAATGAAGTGGAAGTAGTATCGTGTCCCCCCTATCCACCCCTCCACCTCGGGGTCGTTATCCCAGCGCGTGTCAGGATTTTTCAGCCTCAATATAGCGGGCGTTGATTCATGGAGACTCATGATTTTCTGGTGAACCCTGTCGATTTTGGAGAAATCCCTGGGGTAGGGACCCTCATGTTCGAGGTCCTGGATATCTCGTAAGGGCAAAGTTATTTCGTGTAACCAAAGACAGCGAGTCAAAGGAGTAGGAGGGTCCTTTTCCGGATTCCGAGGGGCGATAGGAGTATTCGAGCGGTTGGATGGCACTGGAGTGTCGATTGGGAGGGATGGGAGGCTGTGGCGCCAGTCCACGGTACCGGGTCGGCCTAGTATTAAAGACATGTTGATATCCCTGAGCTGTTAGCAGCTGTTTTGTTTGTTACCGCGGAGAGGGGGGAGTGGACAGGGTGGCAACGCGACATACCACATTGCGAGAATCATGTACATCTTGCGCCGTCTCTCGATGAGCCACTGATTCTCAATAACGGTCTCCAAACTTGTTTCTGTGGGCTTAGGATCGAGGCTATCCCGGTGCATGCCCAACTCTTGAGCATCTCTGATAGCAATTCCAATCATGTGCCACTACGCCATTCGTTAATCTTGAACCTACCAAAGCATGTCGAAATGCTCAACAGGGAAGAAGGGGGCGGAGGGTGTCTAACCGACTCAGTGACATTAGCAGTATACTTCAAGAAGCAAGCTCTTAGAAACTCGGCCTGAACCGTCGTAACACTCAGCCCCTTCTTCCCAAACAATCCCACAATTTCCGCCCCGCTAGCACTGTAATCACACGCCAAGTCCTCAAAAGTCATGTTGGCGGCATACTTCAACGTCACAAACTCCTCTTCCTCGTCGTCCGGAAGGACCAGTAAAGCCGCGGCAATCATTTGGAACAAGACGGCCGGGAAAACCCTCAAGCCAGGAGGAATGCCCCGCGGTCCTTCGGTGGAGAATATACTAAACGGGAGGTTATTCCACTCCTGGAGTTGGGCGAAGAAAATGTCCGGGTCGACAAAGTAGTACTGCCAGTTGAATTCGCGCATACACATGGCCACGAGCTTGTCGATGAAGACCTTGGCAGGGAGATGCCGTATGAGGTCCTTGTATCTTTCGCGCACAGCAAAGGAGTCTTCGCGGGAGGTGCAGGCTAGTGAGAGCGTAGAAAGTGAAGATTGGTCGTCGAATGAAGGGGCCGTTTCGATTTTCTTGAGAAAGGAGATGGTCGATGCTCCAGTTTGGCCGTAGCCCCATGTTGCGGCCATGGTAGAGAGCGGTTCTGTAATTTTTGGGGGCGTTGAAGATGCCGAGATTTGGGGCACTTGGGTGGATGGTGATATCTTGGTGATAAGGCTGTTGTTGTTGATGGTGGTGTTCCCGTTCTCGGATGTACGGGCACTCGGGTCGTAAGAGCAGAATGTTTCACGGTTTCTAGAGCGGCAATTTGCGCAAGGAAGCTCTCGGTCACACTGGCTATGTTAGTGTTTAGTGTCATGATGGGATATGCCGTGACTAGGTGAGTTGAATTGCCATGTTGGGTGCGCTGAAGAGTGGAATGTGGTGATGGCATGAGAGAGGGCGTTGACGGAGTACCTTTTGCTTCCTCCTATGACACTCGGTACACGACACAACAACCCTCCTCCTCTTCTTAGGAGGGCCCTTTCCGGACGGCACTGGAGCCTCTGTCTCGAGTATCGAATCGCTCATGGCTTCGATCGGCTCTGTACGCAAACTGACGATACCTCACCACTCAGCCAGGAGCCAAGGCAGGCCATCAACCTCAGCGTCCAAGTAGTCTCACGGTTTCTACCGGCCCTTGCCTTCCTGTCCAGTGGCAGCTTTCAAAGCACTCATCTGTTGAGAGATGCAGCTTCTGCGTCGGCATGTACGGTGCGAAGCCGGCCATGACGTACGTACATGGAAGTCAAAATTGAGTTGAGGTGACATGTCAACCGTCACCGTTGCCCATCCAAGCTGAAAGTCAGATTGTCGCTACCGGCTGGTGGGGCCGGAGTCAACATTGAACATTGAACAGTGAGGGGCTCTGGGCCAGCATTAGATGTCAACTGGCCTGGTCGTTCATGTGTCCACCAGTTAACCACGAAGCTGTACCGAGTTGTCCGCAATGGAACATTTGAACCAGGCTCTTGCATGCCGCCCACACCACAACCACCACATCTGGGCCATTCAGGCGCCCGCCAGCCCGTTTTCAGCGCTCCTGGCCTGGTACTGCTGCCTACTGAGAACTCCTTTCGATGTTGACGGGGTGTCCGGTGTGGCGGACTACCAAGACCGAGGCTGGCTGCGGGAGACCACAAGATACATACCTTGGCGACTTTCGCACATCACGCGAGCCTGAACGAAATGTGGAGAGATGCCGAGTGGTGCCATCCTCGCAACCAACGTAAAATTTCCGACTGCATCGGCAGATGGGACCAGTTTGAATAAGGTAATCCATGCTACCTCTGTGGTTGCAAGGCAAAGTATCTTGCAAACACTATTCACGGTGTTCAGAAAGACAATATTCGTAAAAACATAAGCCAAGTATTTCAACGTTGTCCCCGTCCTCGAATCCCTGGTAGTACGTACCCGTCAACCAAGATCTCGTCCATTTAATTCTCCAACCGGCTCACTACTTCCGTGTCTCGTTCCTAATCTTCCTCCAGACCCATCACATATTTTTGTGTCCAACCGAGTAAAACATTCGCCCAATATTGAATCCACTTTGCTACCCAACATAAACACCACTGTCCCACTTTTGCATAGACTATGAAGAAATCAAACCTACATATGTAAAATTGACAAATCAAGCCGACATTTCCTCTTGTACGTCGATACGACGCTTCTGGGAAGCCACTTCCTACCGTTGCATTCAGCGAACTCTCTCCGTGTATGCCTTCCATGCTGCCGAGCGGTATCGTTCTGCCTCGCCTTCGGGGTCGCTTGCCTTGAGGATGCCGCGACCGACAATAACGATATCTGCTCCGGCGATGCCGATAATCTTCTGAGGTGTATTGTATTGCTGCCCCTTGCCATCGCCTTGGACGGATCCGTTCTGGTCATCGTCCTGAGGCGGCAGCTGACAGCCAGGCGTCATATGGATAAATTGGTCGTCGACTTGTGTGTTGAGAGCCTCTTGTGAAACAAATCCCATGACAAAGTCTCTGTGTTCTCTGGCAGCTTCCACGCATGCTTGCGTGTACTCCTTGTTCATAAAGTTGCCTGCCGATGACATTTGTGCCAGAATAAGTAATCCTCGGGTCATGGGCGCTTCTTCGATACCGGCAAAGAGGACTTCGTCATCACCAGCCATGTTTTTAGTCAGTCGTGGCGAGTTCACAGGCTCATATTGTTGCGTCACAGTAGTAACGGAGACAATGCTCCCCTTTCGTCCGTCATCTGTCCGTCTAGGCACGCTGTCATTGGTGTCGTCGCGACCGCTAGAGCCTATATCGTGGTCCTCAAACTCCTCTGCGGTAGGAGTGCCCACAGAAACTGACGTCTTGACCTCGTAAGGATATCGCTCGAACCATCGAGTGGCAGCGTTTGCTAACGAGGTCACCGAAGCTTTTCCAGGTACCATGTTCACGTTGACGATATGCGCCCACTCAATAATTCGAGCGGAGCCGCCAATATACTGCATTTCCACGGTATTGCCGATATCACCAAACTTGCGGTCCTCAAAGATTAAGAATCCATGACGACGAGCCAATGAAGCCAGCTTTGCGCCGGTGCCGGTTTGAGGGTGGAAATCCCATCCAGAGACCATATCATAGTGTGTCTTGAGAACGACAATGGACGGGCCAAGTTTGTCCGCAACGTAGATAAGCTCTCGGGCGGTAGTGACATCTGCGCTCAAACATAGATTCGACGCCTTCAGATCCATCAGCTTGAAAAGGTAGGCATTGAGCGGGTGAGTGGCCGTTTGAGCCCTAGAAGCGTACGTTGCCTTGAGGGTTGGGTGTTGTGCCATGTTGATGTTGTCAGGACCCTGGGCACTCACGGGCTATTGGTGTGCGGTGTTGGCAGGTGAGATGAGATGAGGCTGAACTATGCTGATCCGATGTGACCTTGAAATATGGGTGGCAACTTGACAGTTGGAACGTCCCGAGTCGAACGGGAGCCAGTTGCTTTGCGTCAATTTTTCTCAACGAGTTATTGCCAAGTCAAGACTGTTCGCGGTACTGCAAGACTGGGTAGCTGGCTCAGGATTTTGAGAGGAAAGTCTCGTGATTGAGGCAAGGTTCGAGCTTTAACAAGGGCTGTGGAGTTTAGACCGCCGACCACCAGAACGTAGTGCCACGGATCGAATCTCCTGATTGAGCGCAAAAACTATCCGGCCCAGGCTAGTCAATAGCTAGCAAAGTCGTACCATATCACAGGTGAAAAGGACTGACAATTTCTAACAAAGAAGATTTGCGAGAAAGGACCAGGAAAAAAAAAGAGGAGCGATCAAAAAATGACAGAGCCAAGCTGCAAAGATGCAGCAGGGGTGTTCAAGCCCAAGTGGTTCTCGGAGAGAGCCCTGTTGGACACTTTGGGCGGGTTGGACCCGTGGGACTGGGCTCTCAAGTGGACAAGGAAATCTGTCAACGGACAGGGATCAAAAACAGGAACGAGGGTCTGGTCGAGAACAGGCGCCTCTGGGGTGCTCAAGCGCAGGAGGCCGTATGCGGGTTCGGAGAGCGGCGTTGTTCGTTCCTGTTGGTGCTGCTGCTCAAGAGTGGCAACGATATTCAGTCCCCTCCCCTGCAAGGGCTACTCCGGCCAAGATAGACGCGATAAGATACAAGCGAGAAAGCAAAGGCGAACTCGGCACACCGAGCACGAGGCTTGTGAGGCTTGACCTGGAACAAGCACGGGACTTGTCGTACAAGGGCAAGGCTGCGGTTGAAGCCCCAGACTTCACCAGAAAGCAGAAGGGAAAGGGAAAAAGGTGGCTCCAGTAGCTGACGGGTCGAGAGGTTTACAATGGGCAGGACCAACAGCGCACGTCGCGTCGAGTCGAGTCGAGTCGGCAGAGGAAGATGCCGGTGCCCCCAAGCGCCGAATGATACCGGTGGACTGGCAGGCCACGACTGGAGGCCAAGAATTTCGAGGCTGCTGAGGCCCTGGTCCCAACTAAGAAGACCCTGCAAACCGCGACCCATGGGTGGCTTGGTATCATTGATCAACCGGTGGCGTGCCAATCTGCGCTGTAGTGTGAGTGGTGAGGTGTCAATCTGGAGATGGGTGGGTGCCACAGTTGATCGCCATCGAGGCCTTGCGTCTTCAATCCACCTACTCCGTACGGAGTACATCCACGAGCCGAGATGCCAAGGGATGACGCAGGCCGGAGGCTGCCCTAGCGGCGGCGTCCTCTGGAGCCGTGTAGCCAGAGCCAACGCTTGCCGAAGTCGAATTTTTCGCATCTTGATGCTGGATGGTCAATGAAAAATGTGCTCATTTTATGTTGAAAGGAGCTTGGATTTCGAACAGCAAGCCCATGGCCAGATTCGGGATAACGGGGCACCTGGGGGACAGGGGGCATATGACAAACAGGGGCAGGAGCGCGCAAGCCGCAGCAGACCATGGACGGAAGGAGGCACTGGTGGTGACTGCAGAGCATCATCAATTTACTCCGTACTCCGTACCACGCTCAACATTTAAAGCCTGGCGCTATTTTCAATTGCAAGCATCCCGCCACAACACTTATTTTGGGCACATGCAACGGTAGACGACTCGAACTGTTCACACCAAGTCTCAACGTGCAGACCAGACTACACCACGCTGTCGAGCCCTTGGAGACCAAAGTCTAGACTCCAGAAACCAAAATGTCCCAAACGCGCTTTGGTTCGCAACGCCGCCGTACCGTTGATGAATGAATCAACGACCTCTGCCCTTTCGATACCAGCCCTTGCCTACGAGCGAAACAACTCGGGACATGGCAGCCTAACATTGCAGTGTCAGGGACTCAAGGCCATGTCCACCAAGCCTGAGCTTCAGTGTTCTCCTATACGGCACCAACATGATAGCAGAACGTACCGACCTAGGTACCTACTTAAGTACCTAGGTACGGAGTAGGTAATAGGTATTTGACCAGACCAGGTACCTGGCTGTTGTGCTCATGATAATACTATTTTGTCAGTGTAATTGTTAACAGCAAATGTATTCTGCCACAGACTACTCCGTACAACCGACATAATGCCCACGGGTTAGTCACACTGTCCGTATGATAGTTCGAATTTTGCAGCTCCCACCGATCCGCAGCCTGCACACCGAGAGTTGATATAATACACCAATTTTCCCACTCAATGAGGCTCGAATGCCATTCGGGCCGGAGCAACACTGGAGCTTTCTCCGCGTGAAGTTCATTGGAGGGAGCTCCGCCAGCGGACATCGTGGCTGGCGCGGCGCCCTGAGCTAATTCCCGCTGCGGAATATCGAAAACACCTTGACGATACATCAAGAGAACCTGGTACTCATGTTCGACTTCGTCCACCTGCCACATATCCCGTGCCGGGCTCCCTGGCGCCGTGCCGCTTCCCCCCTCAACCCCAAAAGCTCTGAGGTACATATATCCCGTACCCCATGCAATACCTCATATTTTCTGTGTCTGGTTTCCACAGACATCCCTCCCTGCTCAAGGCTCCCCAAGCCTCCAGCATCCACGGCCAATGACAGCAAAGGCGCTAATGTGCCTGACCTGCAGCCTTCGGCAGGATAGTGCTTTCGATTTACACACTTCTCTGCTATTGCTGGAGCGGGAAGAACACTTTTTGTCGATGCGAAAATAGGTTAATGGATAATGCCGTTTAGCATGGCCCATTTGTCTAAAGGCGGACGGGGGGAGCAAGCCCAACCTTGGTTGTCTCGGCGTGTCCGACGCTTGCAATAGCAGGGCATGTCACTAGAGCTCGCAAAGATGCCTGGTACCCGACTCCCTTCACAACGAGAGGCATTTATAGCTTCAGCAAAAATAAGTTTTGGTGCATGGAACTTTTGGTATGATGCTCATGGGATGTTGCCATGTTGAGGTCCCCCTTTCCCATTTTGCCGATATCGACAGACTTCATGTCCCTTTGATATCCAGGTTGTCGAAAAAGCCAATAGCTATATCTTCATGGACATGCATGCTTTTTGCACTTGCTGCATCGCATCTGCGCCAAGTCCCAATTTACGGTGGCAGTCTCCCGCAGTGTGCGTTGTCTCTGCTGCCCTTGTCCGGCTGACTGTACGTGGCGGAGATCGAGATGCACATATATGCACAGCTAACAAGGGTATGCATGGAGATTCACATTTACAAGCCGTGCCCAGTGAAGGCGCTCAAATGCAACTTGTTGTTGACCAACTGACTGAGCTGGTTCGTTTCTTCAGTCAATGAGATGGATTTGCCCTGTCGCGTGCTTTCGATGTTGAAAGCTTGGTAATGTTCCCCGAGTGTAGTTGGCAATGCTGGGCTATGACTCTTGTAAAACTTATTTCGGTACTGGCAAAGGACAAAATAGCTTTGTGACAGGACATCAGCGCGGTCGGGAAGAATGCCTGGCATGGGCTTCTTATCCTTAGTCCGATCAAGCCCGATGTGCGTCCGGCCAGTACAACCTTCTACGGGGGAAAGGGAAGAGATAACAAGTTCACCAATCCAAAGAACTTTCGAGTCAAATACTATGTCTGTCGTTCCTCATGTCTTATTGAACAAGGAAACTGTCGAGCTCCAAGATGACCAGACAAGTTCATCATCGAATACAGCAGCACAACGCAACCGGCACTCTACCACTCAAAATTGCATGCCCATATTGACGCCGATACCGACAAGATATTGGCTATGATGCGGCCCCAACGTTCCGCATTTTATCATCTGGGGTCCTGTTGATCTTGATCGACTTAGCTTGAAGAAGTCTTTCCGACACCATCAGCTAACGCTGGCTCCCTGTTTCAAGCTCAATTCACAAGACGTGGCAGAGAGTAAGCAAGAGGTGGGCTGGAACATGTTGCAGTCCGAAGGGGTCCAATCCTTGACCCGAACTGAAAACCCGACTGTCACTACTGAATACCAATGTGTTGCATAAAGAGATGGCAATGCAGCCGCGGACAAGAAAGGTCAATTGATTGATGCCTTATGACCTTTAGCTGAGCCTCAACCATGTCTAGTTATTTCGCCGCCTCGCAGAGTATCTTCTGTTCCCCCCATGTTTGAGCGGAGTTCTGATGACTCGTTCGACTACAATCATCTTTGTCCCTATTTGGTCTTTGTTGCCAGTGACCGAGGGACGTCTTCCAAGGCGAATCTATACCAAGTCATCATCTTGGGACAGAAATAGCAGCCAAGGCTTCCGCGTTGCTGTCTGGGATTGCCCAGGGTCAATGCTCGTCGGCTGATCGGCTGATCGTCTTGGACATTTGCAGCTAGCACTTAAGGCGTACACACTCTGAATAAACATTTGTGCAGCAACTCACCAAGATCGCCGGAAACGGACCCTGCTTTAAACCTCATCAGCTGGGGTCCCGACGAAGCAGGGACCCAAACACAGAAGCGGGCTCTGTTACACAGAAAAGGCCCAACAGATCGTGAAGCCCAATAAAGGGGCTTCACCGATGAAGGACCTATTAGTTACACAAATTAAACACGTGCTTAAGTAAGAGCCCTAGGCACAGCTATTCCCTTTATGTATATATAGTGATTACTTGTCCCTCCCTTGCTTTTACAAAACCATGGACCTTTGACATCGTACTCGATCATCTTTGAATTGAATCCTTTCCAAGCCCTTGATACCAAGCCTTTATCGCAGGCTCCCATCGACTAAATAGCCATTTACGATTTAAATCGTCAGCCGCGACGGTTCGGTATTAGTATATGAACGTTGAATCACGACAGCTTCTGAATCATCCTCAGATGTGGCTGCGTCCGAACCGCTCGCCACGGAGGCACAGCATGTGTATCATTCGGCGAGGAACAAGAAGCGTGTCATGTCTACGAGTTGCGCGATACTATCTGGTTTGGTTTGCCTCGCGGCCTTTGTGAATGCATGTGTAGCAACATTGCCGTCCATCTCATATCGCAGATTGGACACTGTTATTGTTTTTGGTTACGCGAAGCTTAAATAGCCGACTACTACGTCACATAGACTGAAGATGTGTGACAAGGGCTCAGAAAGAGGGCTTGGAGCAATAGCTCAATTCAACTAATAACAGTCTTTGGCATCAAAGGTCCTTGGTTTTCCTCAAGGCCTGGAAGGTCAAAGACGTCTTTAAATACAAGAAGTCGGTGAGGGACTTTGCCCTAGGTCTCGTCACCGTAGCCCTTGCGCAACCTTTGACATTGGGCCATTTCCGTGTAACAATAGAACTAGCTAACTAGAAAATATATAATTCAACTACTTCAAGGCGTCGTGCAAAACGGCGTTGGCTGTCAACGCTCGTCTAAGTTCCATGACTTGACATATTCCTGGTTACAAATAGCTAATGAGTTATTAAGGCGAGTTCCCTGATAGACCTAGGCTGACCGCAAGGATTATTGACACTTATTTTGGACTAAAAGCTTTTGGGACACGGGATTCCATAGCAGAGGTAGGCGAACAGCTAGAATGGCTAAGCGCGCGCAGCCTTCTCTCGTTCTATCTACGAATATGACATCATTTATTGTACACCATTCATCAGCGACGTCAAAGCCAATAGTCTGGTTGATATGCTGCCTGAAAGACGGACTTCTCGTGACATGACTTTCAAAATCAGTTGCATAGTTCAGAGAAGGCAAGACCAGGCCGTTTTTTCCTTCTTTCCCGTGGCTGGTACCGGCACCAAGGTATTCAGAAATCCAACTATGCCCAGAGGTTATCCGATACCAAGACGGGCAAAGCCCGGTGCTGGTCTTAAGATTCCGCTTAATATGATGGCAGGTCTTGGTCAAACCCAACGGGTAAATACCTTTGGTAGCAAGCCCTTTATCAAGTGGTTTTTAGCCATTCTCGTTCTAACAAACCGTAACGGAGATGTGATGATCTGGCACTTGGTACATAACCAAGACGGAAACCTCATGTCCTACTTGGATAACACCTTGCGTACTTGGCTTGGAAATGACATGACGAGTTCTTGTGTGGTGCGCGGAAGCTATATGCTTCGCCAGTAATCTGTCACAAGGAAATGCAAAAGTTTTCTAACTAACAGGTGCTATATTAAATAGACCGTAGATGTCAATTATGCTACAAAACCGCCTCTGCCATCTCACGACAGCAATCTTCTTGGGATAGTTCTCCTATATAGGGGACAACTGGTCACCGGTGGTGTTCCATTCAGCATCGGACACATACATACACCCACTCACACAAGGTCAAAGCTCAAGTGAATCCATGAAAAATTCGTGGTGCTGTGGGACGAAGAAGACGAGCGAGGTTGGTTGGTTAATGGAACGAGCGCTTCGCTACACACGGTA